TTAAATGAATTATTTTGAAATACAAAAAGGAATCTCTTTTACAGATTTGGTTCTCTGACCAAAACTTACCAAATTCTTCAAGTAGACACAAGTATAGGGCAAAAAATATCTGCACAGGCCTACTCAAGTCTATTACTCCAGAGAGTAAGATTTGTGGGTGGTGATTCATTTTTCTTTGAGATTTGGAATTGGGGTCACTTTTGTCACCTGACTTCCTAACATGTTCTTAAAGATTTTCTGATTTATTGTCTTCAGAGGAAAACTGCTTAAATGTGGCATTTCAGAAACATATTGGATAATTGGCTAATACATTTTCCTAGCCAGATGAAAGTGGTCTTGTATTTTTAACATGTCAGTAGTGCTTGTCCATATCTAGGAAATCCAATAGTGGAGAATTCAGGTTGAAAGTAATCAGATTTATATTTCCTTTTTAAATGTGTGTATTTATTTTCAATACTGTCAATTACTTTTCTCCTATCTTACCACATCTTTGTCTCTCTTCCTCTTTTCCTGTCTCTGTCATGCACTAAATAAATATATAAATATGTATGTATACACTTATACACTCTTTCCTATTAATAGTAGTTACTTTAGTGACTAAGGATGAAAAATACCATATATTTACACTTCAATTATAGGAACGATATGTTTTACTGTCTAAGTACCATGTCTTGTCGTGGTTATTATCATGATATTAAATAGCTGAGGGTCATTGTAGAAGGAACATAAGTCATTACCACATTTCCACACATAATGACTCTTAAACATAATTGCTATGTAATCTTTAGGTGAATTATTACATTGAATTATTATATAGGCCAATGCTCATGCTGGCAGCTTAGCTAGGAATAAAAGAAAGCTACTCAATCAAAGATCAGTTCTGTTTCTTTTTTAACTGAATGATTTTCAAAACATAATATTCAGGTTCCAGGCTTTAGAAGTACGTGATACTTTTACTCGACTCTGTTAAAGTGTGTGATATGAATTTACATAATTTGATAATGAAAAGAACAGAACTGCATGACTGCATAACTGATCCAGGTATAAAAAGGATACTTGTACTTCATGAGCTGCATGTTGAGAACCCACAAACCCACAAAAATCTAGTCAATGTCTTGATCACATGCTCGACAGTCAAGGTAACATAGACAGATGTTACAAAGAGATACCACCTGATCTTAGGGGAAAGGTGATATGTTCTAAATAGGGGATTTTACAAAACAGCAGAAAATTAAATTCTTCCCTTTGACCTCCTTTACAGGATGTAAAGTCAATGCTGCGGAAGTCATGATAGGTTGTGGTGATCCATGAAAACATCTACTTATTAATATATATCTGTACATATATATAGGCAACTGGAAAGAGCCTGAAAACCTTTCAGTGATGTAAACATGTCTATTTTTGTGTTACTAAGCTGCTATTATGTCAGTTGTGTTCAAAAATAACATGAAATAAAAATGCTCTGTAGGTGCCTTTTACTTCAGCAGAATGTAGAGTAACAGTGTAGTAAAGAGACATGAGGAAACTTGCACTATAGAATCTATGCCCTCAGTCTTCTTAATCTCTTTTACTTCTGCAGGAAGAATTTTGTGAAGCCTGTGACTGTTTCAAGTAGACAAAGAAAGTTTGCCTGGGCTGTACTGAGTAAAGAGGAATTGTCTAGGGCTGTATATACACAGGTTACTGAAAGTAATGCTTCCATGGAAACTACAACAGATACAAAGAGCATAATAACACTATTTGATAGAGCAAATTCGCAGTTTCATAACACTATTTTCCAACAAAATCACCACTATTAGCTCTGTATTTTCACCAAGGATGAACAAGAGACATCAGGCCATTCTTGTAAAAATCTGCACCAACAAAGATGACTAGCTGTCACTGTTGCTGAAATCTACCACCCACCAGATCGTGTTCACATCCACTGTTTGGTGTCCCTCAATGTTGAGTAATTGCCAGTTAATGTCAATGAGTGCCAATTTTCCACCTGGAGGAACTGAGTTATCCACCTTTGCTTCTTAAGCACTTCCATGTTAGAGGCTATTTTGTCAGACCACCATCCTGTTTCCATCTGTCACACACAAAAATGCAATATGGTCAGGAAGTTTCAGCCTCTACTACCACACTACCAATTTCTATCTTTGTTACCATAGGCCAACATAATAAATCAGGAGGCATTATTTTTGGAGCATCTCTTGTCAAATATAGAATATAGTGTGTGTATGCATGTAAGTAACAAAACTTATTTTCATTTTTAATTTTTAAAAAGGGACGGGGAGAGGAAGGTAAAACATAAAACTAGTAAGATATTTGGCTTCATTTTTGTGAAACCAATGCATCTATCTGGTTTTATAGTAATGGTTGCAATTCCTAGTGAGTTTCGAAGTGTTAGTGAGAGACTTGATGAAATTTTATTCATCCTGTGCTTCATCCTTGATTATTCACGATTTTATGTACTGTCAGAGAGCAATGACATGAATAAGGTTGGGTAGTGAAGCAAGAGAGGTCTCACAAAAGTCTCATGAAGAGACAGGATCAAGGCTCTGAGTTAAATATCTGATTATAACTCTACACATTACATTTAAAAATCTGCAGGTAATTTATTCATGTGAACTGGAAATGAGTACATTTCCAGTTATGAGTCATGAGTACAAAAAAAAAAAAAAATTCTTTTCGGCAGTCTTGAAACATATTCTCAAATTCCTTTATCAAAACAGAAAGCATGGCTGCATGTTTTTCACTGTTCACAGCTCTGTTTTTAGCTAAAGTATTAAAATGCATACAATTATTTGCCATAACCCGAGGTAGCTGTACACTGAGCACTCCCCATGTCCTGGTTTCAGTCAACACAATGTTAGTAGCAGATCTATGTGTGGTTGTTTCTAGGTAAGCACCTAGGGTCAGACCAGGCAGGTAGGTTAGGAAGGCTAATCCCCATGGCGGTGAGGGGCAGAGGCTGGGCCTCTTGACAGGCTGCGCTGGGTTGCATGTGGCCTGTGGTCCATGGGTTGGACATGCCTGGTCTAGCTGGAAAGATCCTGAAGGACATAATGTGTTGGTCTGTATATCTGAAAACTCACTTTGCTTAATGATGAAAGTATGTATGGACAGGTACTTAATGAACATAACTGCAAGCCTTGGTCTGAACTGACTTTTGCTTAGTTAATGAATAGAAGATGGGTTGTGGATTTTGTGACTGAACAATGAAATAGGAATCATTTATGAAATATCGATTTTGTTTGTACACATACTTTCAGTAGAAAATAAACATCATGAAGCTTGATACAGTGCTTTTCCTGACACTCAGATAACTTTTTTATTACTGTAAAAATGTTTCAGGAAATTATAGAATGTGAAAAGAAGGCTACATTGATGCTGTACATAAGCAGTCTCTTGATAGCAATGGAGGACTGAGAACTAGTAAAAATTGACTCAGCAGATCGTTTTCGTATTCCCTAAATTTCCAGACATTTAGGCGTGGTTGTAGGCATTTCTTTAGGCACTTTTCTGAGTCTGGATGAAAAATAATATTTCAAGAATTACTTCTAAGTAAGCATTTTTTAAAACGCATGACATATGTTGCCAAAAACAAAAGCAACCTTTTTAACATATTAGCGGATAATGTTGACTACCTAAATTTGAACTGAAATATATACAGTTTATTAATCATTTATATTTATATTTAATATTGATCATGTACAAAATGTTTTAATGGTTTTTTTGTAAGATTCTGCTGCACTAACCGCACGATGGAATGTTTTTGTTTGTGTGTTTTTGAGAACATCTGAAAGATCCATCATGATAACAAAAACTGGTTAGGATTTTTAGAAAGTTACAGTCACACAAGAGACATCCATAGAAGCAGGCAAAAAAGAGAAAGATGCTACTGAAGAATTCATGATCAAATTTTATTTTTTATTTAACTCAGAAAATGAAATGAATTATACTAATATGTTGAGCCAATAAAAGTGGGCACTTCTGTAGAATATAAGTGGGGAAGACTCTTTTCTTGAAAAAGCTCAACATTTTAAAGAATTATTTTTAAAGAATTTAAATTATTAGTTGTGAATAATGAGGAGGAAATACTGATAGAAACAATATCTAGGGCACTTGTGTCTGGTCACAGGTTAAGTGGTTTATAAAAGGGTTTTACTAAACAAATCTCTGTAAATTTTTAGAGATGTGTTTACAATCTTTTACTAAACTATTTTTAAAAGAGAAGATTCAAAACTCAGTAGAAGTGTGCCTGTTCAATGAAATGAAATTCTGTGGCTATTACTTCTGGACCTTGCATCCAAAAAAGTTGTGAAAAATTGTGTCTCATTCTTAAAAAGTGAAAATAAGAGTATGTCAAATTTTGTAGTATCATTATGCTACTTTTACATGAATATTGGGTGAACTTTAAAAGACAATCATTGTATCCCTCAGTTTTCCTCCCTGATTTTGAATAAAACCAAACCTAGATAAAATCTTGGTCCAAATTATAGAATTTTTCTTCCCAAGATCAGCTGAAGCTAAATTTTATCAAACATTTCTATATACAACTGAACAAGGCAAGGAAAAATATTTTAAAACCCCTAAACAATTTCTTTAGTTTCTTGACTTAGTGTTTACAGTCTTCACAGATGCATACAGTTGATTTTAAGAGGTATAATACAAGTAATTAATGACAACTCAGAAGTTGTCAACACTAGTTAAGAAAATGCATAGGAAAGCAACTACATTTAAGAGAAGCCAAAATAAATTTAGTACTGTGGCAGAATTTGTTCCTCTGATGCTGCTTTTTTACATCCTGTGAATTACACTTATGCCCTTCCTGGTTCCTACCTTTTATAGGAATAATCCTTGTCAATAGAAAATGTACTTGCAGTGCATACTGCACTTGCACAAGTTTTTATTCTGTTCAGATACAATCCACATACAGCATATCTGTTTTTCCAATAGCTTCTGGAATATATAACCACTCATAAACAATGTTATATGTATTCTTTTTTCATTAGGGGCTGATGTTATCAATTTTGATGGTCACGTAGTGTTACCATACAGATTCAGGAACAAGAAAATGAAAACACTGAAAGATGTCATCTCTCTGAAATTTAAGACCTCTGAAAGTGAAGGTGTAATCTTCCACGGAGAAGGACAACAAGGAGACTATATCACCTTGGAACTCAAGAAAGCCAAGCTTTTTCTAAATTTAAATTTAGGTAATTTTTTTTTTTCTTTGGTCTGCTTTTGTGTCCTTTCTAACACTTGTTCTGGTTTCAGCTGAAACAGAGATGTCTTGGCTTTTGCTTAGCAATGGGAGCATTCCCACGGCCAAGCCAGGACATACCACTTAGTGGGAAAAAGAAGTCACCACTATAAGTGGTGCAAGGGGAGGGTGGAACTAGAATTAGGCCAAGGGTTTTTCTATACAGTATGACATGCTACTATGCTAGTAGCTCATGACTACTACCTTCTGCTGACCTTCCACAGATGGGCAGGAAGCTGCATCCCATAGTCTGAGGGGAATGAAGAAAGTCTTCAAGGCCTTGGGACAGTTGGTGAAAGGGTCTGGGGCGCAAGTTACTTTCTCTTCCCTCCTTTCATTTTCAGGTGATGACATGGGATGGAACAGAAGGATCCAGTCCATAAATGCCTGGCTACAAGACTGATGCTATAGGCAGGGCTTTGAGTTCTTTGATAATGGCTGGTTTTATAAGACAGCAGACTTGACAGTAATACGTGGAAAAGGTTTATCTCACAGTGGTAAAAGGGTTCTGGGACAGGAATTAGCAAGGTTCATTCAAAGACCTGTAAACTAACTTTGAAGGGGGATGGGAATGTAGATTGACTTTCACTGGTGGAGAAGTGCTCTAGTGTTGATGAAGACTAGGACATGGGACAGACACCACTTGAGGGTTGCTGGGCGTTGGTTGGTATGGAGTAAGAACTTGCATTGCTGGCAGGCCACGGGTCAGCAGGCAGTTGTATTTATTGCTGTGGATTGGTCAGTAGGTAGAGAGTAATTGCATTGTAGTTGTATAAAATACGCATATATATATATATTTATAATTGCATTTTTTCCCATTTTCCTCTTCTTTCTTAGTGTATAGTTTTTATCTCAACCCTCAAGTCCTGTTTTTTTTTCCCAATTCTTTTCCTCATCCCATCTGGGATGGAAAGGGGGAGTGTGGAGTGAGTGAATGGCTGTGTGATGTTTAGCTACATGCCAAGTTAAACCACAACAATTCTCAAAAGAACTTATATCCTTCTTTTTCTTCAGATATGGCAGGCCACAAAATTTAATTTTGCAAAAATATTCATCATTCCCTTTATGCTGTTCTTTTTACTTCCTGTCCTATGTCTTCCCACTTAGTTTGCGTGAGATAACACAAAAGTAAAATCAAAATAAAATAAGATCAACCATATATTATTATTATAATCTTGTTGGAATGGAAAGAGGATTGATAGAACTACATTTGCCTTGGCTATAGTTTCGTTTTCAGAAACTTGCAAAATTTTTGAGATTGGAAGGAATTCTGGAGGTCATCTTGTCCATCTCCCAGATCAACCAGAATCAGCTAGAGCAGGTTGCCCAGGAGTACATCCAGAGCTTCAAGTATCCAGAGCTTCAAACATCTTCAAGAGTTGAAATTGTTATTATCTCATTTTTAAGAAGTGGCTGTGCGAAAGAAAGACGCTGTCTTTAATGCTAGGGGAATAAGGATCACTCTTAAAAATCAGCAGCAAAAAATGATTACTGTCCGGAAAGCCACAGGCAACATGATGTTCAGTAACCTTCCTACAAAGAAGCTGAGCATGAAGGTAGGCAGGGAGAATGTCCTGTTTTTTTTAAGCTATTACTATGAAGCACTGGACCCACTGAAACTGGTGAAAATCCTGAGAAGGATCTATAACCTTCAGCAAAAACACAGGGAGATCATTTGTAGGAAAATACTGTATTAAGCCACGGCAGTCTGATTGGCCAGAATGTGTTATCAGCTTGCACATCTTTACTGATTTTCAGGCACGCTCCAGAAATGCATTATCTCCTCGTGTATTTAAAACACAGAGCAATACACTGAGTTATTGGGCAGCGCAGCAATTTTTTAAACTTCTTTGTGAATTTGCCATTTGCTGCTTCATTTGAGACATATACTATCCATTTTTTCTGGCTTAGTTGTGTCAGCCAGACTGAAATGAAATAGGATCTCTGATGAGCACAGCTACACAGGCAAAAGTTTCCAGAAAGCACAGCAGTAAGCTGCAAAACTGTATTTACATGAAGTTTAATTGCCTTCCAGAAAAATCACAGAATCACAGAATGGCCTGGTTTGGAAGGGACCTCAAGGATTATGAATCTCCAATCCCCTGCCACATACAGGGCCACAAACGTCCACGTTTAATACTAGGCCAGGTTGCCCAGGGCCCCATCCAACCTGGCCTTGAACACCTCCAGGGATGGACGGGACATCCACAGCCTCTCTGGGCAGCTCTTCCAGCACCTCACCACTCTCTCTGTAAAGAATTTCCCCCTGACATCCAATCTAAATATCCCCTCCCTCAACTTAAAACCATTTCCCCTTGTCCTGCAGTTATCAACCCTTTCCAAGAGTTGATTCCCCTCCTGTTTGTAGGCTCCCTTTAGGCATTGAAAGGCTGCAATGAGGTCACCCCACAGCCTTGTTTTCTCCAGGCTGAACAAGCCTTCAGCCTGTCTTCGTAGGAGAGGCGCTCCATCACTCTGATCATCTTTGTGGCCTCTCCTCTGGACCCTCTCCAACAGCTCTCTGCCTTGTACTGGGGGCTCCAGATCTGAACAGAGTACTGCAGATGGGGCCTCACAAGAGCAGAGCAGAGGGGGACAATCACCTCCCTGTCCCTGCTGGCCACCCCTCTCCATTTGCTTTCTGAGCTGCAAGAGCACACTGCTGGCTCACGTTCAGTTTTTCATCCATCAGGACCCTCAGGTCCTTCTGTGCAGGGCTGCTCTCAAGGACTGCTCCTTCCAGTCTGTTAAAATGCCTTGGATTCCTCTGGCCCAAGCACAAAAAAAGGAAGGTTAACACAGGAAGACTAAAGTAAGTTGTATTAGCAGAAGACATTTTTTGCTGCTATTGGTTCATTCTGCACTGAGACTCTTGCACACTAACTAGTCTAGCTATAATGGCAGTCTACAGAGGATTAAACTTATAAAGGTGTTATCAGACTGAAAAGACTTTTAATCAGCTTATTATCAAATGCTATGTCCTCACCAGCACAGTTTCATTGTTCAGAATCTAATACAAAGGCTATTCTAAAAAGAGTGACAGCTTTTTATTTCAGTACTGTAGGAATTTAAACACAGAGAAGTCTTAGTTGAATACAACTTTGCAACTGAAATCAGCTATTGCTTCCCTGGTGTACCTTCATACACCTACTATGACAAATATTTATTGAGTTCATTAATGTGATTATTGATCTATTTGATCTAAGTATTTGTATTTTTGTGGTATCAAATCTCCATATGGTATATCTTATCTTCATAGTGAATTGAATTCCTCCAGTGTGAGGCTGTGTGACTGTGTGACATGATTCAGGTGAAGTATTGACAGAATGAGAGGAAAATGTTTGCCTAACTAACATGAAATGAAAATTGCTTTTGTTTCTATTCTTATTTTAGGTAGCAACCAGCTTGGCTCTATTTATGGCCACACATCCGTGATGACTGGCAGTCTCTTAGATGACCACCATTGGCACTCCATTGTTATAGAACGCCATGGGAGAAACATCAATCTCACCCTGGATAGACACATTCAGCATTTCAGAACTAATGGAGAATTTGACTATCTGGACCTGGATTATGAGGTAGACTGTGAAATCTATATATTTTCACTCAAATTTTTTTATAAAGAAAAGTCCAATGGGAAGATAAACTTGAAATAATTAAAAATGTTTTGTTTTGTTTTGTTTTTTAATGTTTTTTTAAATAACATTTTTTTCCTTACATTTCTTTCAAATAATCTATTCCTTTAGGTATAAATTCCCTTCTTCCCTTTCTGTCAGATCTTGTCAACATTCATGGGCTGATCTGTCCTGGTTTCATGACAACCAGGCAGAGGGACCTTCAGATCCGTGCCCTGAAAAGGGATAAAGGAAAAGGATAGAGAGATGGTCCTATAACAGAACAGCAGCAATGATCTGAGGAGAAATAAATTCATTTACTAAATAAGATATTGAAATGCAAGATAACACACTATGATACAATATAATACATTATATTAGAACTGAAGCTAATAAATAAAAAATATTGAGTGTCTGAAAACTGAAGGCCCTACTCTAATGCTGAGGCAAGACATAAACAGAAGTGAAGAGAATGAGATCCCGTGACTTTGCCAGGGGATTTATCTCCTCACTGAATGCAAAGTCATCTGGGGTATGTAGTTCTTCTTCTCTTCTGGGACAGATACCTGGAACTGGAGCATTAACTCTTTAACTCCAAGTGCACTACATGATGTTACGATATGGAATACTGATAACCAAAAATCATAAAACCGTGACAGATCCCATCTGTTATAAGGCTCATCTTAATCTTTTGTTTTAAAATGGGAAATATAAGTAATTCAGTAAGGTTAGGGTACACTATAGCTAAGCAGCTGCTATAAGCACAAAATTGATTTAAAAAAAAATCATACCATCTGCTATTACTTTCAGGTGCACATTTTGCACTTGAATCAGGCAAAACTCTTTTTCAGTGACAGCTAATATAAATATGTAGCAAAGGAAACAGATTACAACTTTTTTACTTACCAATGATGTTGCTCTCCTTAGGCAAGTAAGTACTTATTATCACAAATGCACCATCACTAACTTATTTCTATAAAGAAACAGTAAATTAAAAAAAACCCTTTTGTTTGATCAGTCAGTTAATGTCCACAAGTGTTGATGAGAAACGACACTACACTACACTTGCTCTTAGCCTGAAAAGCTGTCATAAAAAGCTGAAGGAAGAAACTGGAGAAAGGAACTTGTACTCCTGGTAGAAGAAGATCAGATCATGGAATATTTGAGAATACCATACACTCATAAGTCCACAGGCCCAGATGTGACACACTCATGAATGCTATCATTGTGATGTCCTTCTTGATAATCTTTGTTCAAGAAGTTCCTGAAAATCGAAATAGAAGTTATTCCTGCCTTCAGGTAGGATGGAGTAGGGTCAGCAAATTATAGGCCAGTGGGTAGCTCTTGATCCCTGGGAAGGTGAATCAACAGTTAATCCTGGAAACTGCTTCCAGGCACACAAACGACAAGAAAATAAACAGTTGCTGTCAGCATTGCTTTCACCCAGGTGGAGTTATGTTTAACCAACACTATGAGCTTCTATGATGAAATGGTGAACCTAATGGATGAGGGGAGATCAAACCGTATTGCCTAGGTGGACTTCAGTAAAGCTTTTGACTCCGTCTCCCATAATATCCTCACAGAGAAGCTGTTGAAGTACATGGACTGGATGAGCAGATTGTAAGGTGGTTCCAAAACTGGCTGAATGATCAGACACAGAGGGCAGTGGGCAGCAAATTGTAATTGGAGACCAAGAGTAATCAGAATACCTCAGGGATGGTTAGCATCTTCATTCATTCACCTGGATGATGGGATAGAATACACCCTCAGTTAATTCATGGATGATACATAACTACAGGGAGTGACTGACTCATCAGAGTGTTGGGCCACTAATTGGTCATAGAAGACCTGAACCATGCTACCAGAAAGTCATATAAGTCGATTTTATTAAAGATTTTCAATTGATTGAACAACAGAAAATGTTAGACAGAGTGCCGTAAGTCAATTTACATATGTGTGTAATATATGTAAATAATGTATTAGAAGCAGCAAGAATGGAATCCAGGAGATACAGCTTCCTCTCTTCTTTGGCATTAGAGACCTCATTGGCAGTTTCTTTCCAAAGGTACATTTCAATCTCCATCTACATAGATTTACTCATGTTTAATGAAAGTTGTTTTAATGTGTATGAAAACATGTTCTATGGTTTATATAAAAGGCAGAGCCTTGAGTTCTCCATCCTTTACTCTCAGTTAATTCACTGACTTTGGATGTTAGACTACATTTAAATACATTGCCCTAATGATAAGTTAATCTGTAGGTGGTAAATCTCAATTAATCAAAACAATTTTTCATACAAAACAATGTAATTCCAAACGCTCCTACTTTCCTCCTACCTTCACTCAGCTTGTAACTGAACATAATGTCAAGTGGTATGGGATATCTCTTTGGTCAAGTGGGGTCAGTTGTCCCGGCTGTGTCCCATCCCAGATTTTTATGCACCTTCATTCTATTTGCTGGTAAAAGAACACAAGAAACTTAAAAATCTTCGATGCTGTGTAAGCACAGGTCAGCAAAAGCTAGAACACCAGTGTGTTACCAATGCTGTTTTGGTCAAAATCCCAAAAAGACCATTTGACAACAATAAAAAACTACAGTTATATTCTCCAGTTGTGGGTTTTTTTTTTTGTTTTTGTTTTTTTGTTTTGGTTTTGTTTTTTTTTCTCAAAGTAAAGTCAAATTAGCGTAGAACATCTGAGGATGTACATGCAGGTATTCCTACGTAGCTGGTGTGTACTATTTATAAAAACCTTAGTTTTCAGTGGAGTAGTTGAAATGATATAATTCTTGTATGCAAAGTCAATGTCTGTTACTTTTAAAATAGAAAATAGTTCCTTTGAGCTGCGTTTTCATGCTCTCAGTAACAACCAATTGAGCTAGCAATGAATTATATTTGAAGGCTTGGCTCTACCAAATCTCATCTCTGGAGATGCAAGTAGAAATTTTTGTGAGCTTTCTTGGGCTAGGAATTCCAGTTGTAATGACTGTTTATGCCTCATTATATTTGATATAAATACTTAACATAGATTGCAAATCTCATGAATTCTTTATTCTTCATATTTGGGCTGCAAAATATTTATGAAAGAATGTAGCTTTTATTCACTTCCAAATATTTCAGAAAGGCACTGATAGTGTAGAAGTCTGTGTAGCCCCTGTAGAGTAACAGGAATTAATGAGCAATTCTAGTTTGTAAAATATTTGTTTTTTCTTAGTGTTTCAGCACTACGGTCTCTGGGTAACCCAGGGTAATTAAATTGGTCATAAATAAATAAACATTTATTTTTCGGCCTACTAAATAATTTCTTATTGACCATAGCTACGTGATAAAATCATGTTCTCAGTACTAGAAAGTGAACCTGCTTAGCAGGAGATAGTTTTTTGGACTATGTGATTCTGTAAAATTCTGCTAGATAAAATAAGTATGTAAGTATTATAAGAAGCAAATACATTGTATTGAAGCCCACAATTACAACTGCTATGTTGTATTCTAAGTCCTGGCATATATTTGGAGCTGAGTGAATGATTCAAATCAGGCTATCTATCTGACTGATCTCTAATCTACTTTTGTTGAAAAAGTACTGAAATGGATATTTATTTCAAATTGTTAGTAGTTTGAAACAGGTACTGAACAGTAGTGATCAGAAGATCTGACCATATGTAACTGTGATACATGTTTTCTCTTTATTTGGGAAAACCTAGTAACAGATAGAGTTTACCACCAAAAATATTTGCAGTCATGACTTCATCATAGACTTTTTCCTGCTTTTCCACTTGTTTGATACTTTCTTTTTCTAGTAAGCAAAAAGCTCAAAGCCCTTGTTCTCCAGTTAACTGTCTTTCATTTTCTGATACATAACCTCAGATAACCTTTGGCGGCATGCCTTTTTCTGGGAAGCCAAGTTCAAACAGCAGAAAAAATTTCAAAGGCTGCATGGAGAGCATCAACTACAATGGCAATAATATCACTGACCTTGCTAGAAGGAAGAAACTGGAACCCTCTAATGTGGTAAGAACGTAACTTTGTCATCATCTAAACTTCTAAACTTCTGCTTCTCTTTCTAAGGAAAGTTTTTGAGTGTGTGACAGATGTTCTGAAATCATATAATATACAAAACAAAGTTTGTATCATGCCTAAAGATTTAATTGTACATACTTTTATGATGCTTGTTTGTTTGTTTGTTTGTTTGTGTTTAATATCTGGGAACCTGTTTCTGCTGGGATTTAAGTTTCAGCTTTCCAGAATTAGCCGTCAGCATCAGATGAATGTTTTTTAAAAGAAAACCAGTAGATCAATATATTCATTTTCTCTTTCCTTTCATATTATAGTAACCTAGAGCCAGGATAGACAATATTGATTGTTAAATCAATTGCAGTGTGTCAAGGCTCTAAATCCTGATATCTTCCATCCCCATGGAGCAAGTAGCACGGGTGTGCAAAATCATTTGAGAGGGATTACTGAGAGCCATTTTGTGGGAGCTCTGTAAAGCATCAAGATACTGAACTTTGAAACTGTTTTTTAGGTTATTAACATCACAGAGGTTACTAACATTATATTCTATATTTTTTTCTCTCCAAAGCATTCATAGTTACTTTCACGTTTAAGCTTGTGTCTTTCTGTAAGGGCTGATTAGGAAATTACTTTAATTTCTATATTTTTTAAGGATCTAGGCTTTCCTAAAATAGCTGCTGGATTACATGAGCAATGTGCGTAGGAAATAAATGTATAATTACCCTGAATTTCAGATAGATTTGTTCAAGGCTTTCTTCTGTACAGCCTTCAAAAAGCCCTGCTCACAGTGTGTATAGTTCCATTACTGCTTTTTTATTTATGTATTTACATAATTCATAGCAGTAAGCAAGAATAAGACATAAGATAAACATATACAGTAGAAATAAAGTGCAGTGACTTTTCTTGGATGGACGTGCAACTTAAGAGATTTCTGTAGGACAAACTCCAGCCTTCCAAAAGCATAGCACAGCTAACAGTTCTGTAGAGTGTCTATAAAATCCTCTTTCTGGTTTATTTGGATGTGAATTTTCCGTTTGTTTGGTTTGTTTGTTTGTTGATTAAATTCTGTTGCCTGTAACATTAAAGCAAAATCTGCATATGTAGATTTGGTAGTATTAGTGGTTCACCGCAAAGCTGTGGCATGCTAGTTTAATCTGATGATTCACTTGATTTCCACTTCTGACAATATAAAAACAGAAGTGACCTTTGCTTTCAGATGAATTATTTAAATTGCTTCTGCTGTTCAAAAACAAAATTAGTTTCACTTATGAAATCAACATGGATTTTTATGTTTCTTACAAAAACTTTTATTCTTCTGGTTTTGAGCCTGATTTAGTATGAAAAACACAAAGTTGAAACTAGTATTTTTGTTAATCATGTTCATGTTATTAGCACTTAAGCAACCCAACCAAGATCAAAGCTCCATTGTAGGAACTGTGCAGATGCATAGCAGTAGACATATCCTGCCCTAAACAAAAAGCAAAAATAAATAACGTAGTGAAATGGAACACAAACTTATTGGTGAATTTATAAGAAGCATCATAGGGGAGAAAAAAAAACAAAAAGAGTTGGGCAAAGAATAAAAAAAGAGGTTTGAGACAAAAAGAAAAACGTCCTTACTGTCAGATTTCAGAAGTTGTACAATGAAAAGGAGTGAAAAAATTAAATTTATACCACGAGGATGTCCAGAAAATCTAAGAAGTTAATCTTGATTTTACACTGAGCAAAAACATAATTAATAAAAATCCTTAGGTCTCACAAACATAGATGTTATGATCATAAATGCAAGAGTCTTTCAACATCTTCTTAAGCAATTTATTAATCTTTAGAGTGTAACAACGTGGAACAAAAAAGTTCTGCAGTCCTCTGTGATAGAATAAGGGCAGCAAACCTTTAAGGAGAATGAGTAAGATGGATGGCCTTAAACAGCTTTTGCTCTTATTAATAGAGCCTGATTTGTTTTCACAGAAATGCGGCAAATAATAAAAATACACAAAAAGGAGAGTAGGAGAGAGAAGGACAACAAGAAAAAAATTGGAGTGTCAAATTTTCTCCCAAATGGACTTGCAAGCAAGAGTTGGCAGTGACTTACTAGAGCATTAATTTCTATCTTGTTTACAGCTTTATTCAGGTCTAAGACAGAAAAAAAGAACATGCACACCAGTCTTCCATATTTTCTATGTTATTGAAAAGAATAAGGTTATGTATGGTAGTTTATATTTGTTTCGCTTACATTTACAAGTACTAAAATCTAGCAAGTTTCTCAAAACCTGTAATAGGAAAATGCTGAGGGGAATCAAACCTGTTGCTCCCTCTTTACATACATTGTGCTTCTTCCACTTCAGTGGCTGCTCTTCCATGGATTAGTGAGTGCAATCATGTATAAACATAAGATAAACATTTTCTTTAAAGCATGTTACACTCAAATAAATATTTGAGAAAAATAAAGAGATAACCTTACAGCTATTAACCAGAGTTTAACTGGACCCTTTACTATATGATGTATAAATACATGCTAAATGTTTTATTTGCATGTCTCACTGCCCACAGAGCTATTCAGCAAATTATTCTGAATCTATGCAAAAGAATCTCTTACTCTTTGAAAAATGGATTCTTCTACAGAAACAAGCTGCAGATTAGTTCTAACTTTTAGCTAGATCTAGTGACCAATCTTTGTTTAAAAGAGGGATTCTCTTGTGAAGTACAGTCATAGTGGGAACTGATAATTCAGTTCAGATTAATCTAAATGGTTCAGCAGGGAAAACACAATTTTGGATAGCAGAGAAATTGGAATTATGTGTTACTTCCTCAAGAAAACTTTTATGCAGTTAGAGTGTTCACGGTAAATGAGCTCAGTGATTAAAAAAAAATAATAAATTGAATGCATTTGGCACCAGTAGCTTAAGGGAGTGCTTGAAGTGCGAGTATCTTATGCATCACTATGCTTTGAGAGTGTCAATTTGATGTGAAAGACTTCTTCTAATGTGTAAATTGTTAGAACCTCTTATTAACAATGCTTCCAGAAAAATTTATAAATGTTTAACAAAGTGCTTTCTGGGTGCTACTTAAATGACATCTGTGGCTGCTGTCTGTAACTGAATCAGAAGGTGCCAGCTCTTACAAAATGCTATTGTCCTCTGAACCTATGCAGGTCTTCCCCAACACAGAAACAGAATAAATTTTCTTACTCCTAAAGTGAATATTATGCTGAGAATGTTAACAAAGGATTACAAATGGCATTCCAGTTGATGTCTAGGGTTTTGTTGTTGGTTTGTTTGTTTGTTTGTTTTCTGTATGTTAAATCTAGGATTGAATAAAAAAATACGTATGGCACTTTTGGAAATGCTCAGATTAACAGTATCCAAATCAATATGTTAGCTATTTGGACTTACTGCTTAGTAAGCTGAAGAAAAAAAAAAAAAAAAAAAAAAAAAAAGGAAATCTCTGGGCTACAAAAAAATAAATTCAATATTAATTCAAAAAAAAAAACATAAACAAATTCTGACTATGTGACTCCTACTCGAATTCTGAACAGTATTCAGATGAATGTTATATCTAAACATCTAAGTACCTCTGAAAATATTGTTCAGTCATGTGGAAATATAAAGCAAAAGAACTGCTTCCCTGATCATCATTATCATTTCTGTATCTGCATCAGATAAAATCTTACCTTCCAAAATTAAATGGAAATTACCATATTGGTGAATATTGGTTTGGCGCAGTACATCAGAAAACCCAACCATAAAACACAGTCCACTTTGCCGCATAGTAGAGCTGTTCTTCAATAGAAGAAGTCTTTGCATTCTATGCATTGATTAATTAAAAAGTCAGTTCTGCAGAGAGATTGCCTTAGGTAAATGCATGATGTTATAAAGTAATAAAGTAAGAGCCACAGATTTCAAAAGAAAAAAAATAATGTCTATAATACAGCTTGGTGTTGTCCTCTCTCATGAGAAAAGACATTAGAACCTGAGTGAATATTTCATGTCTACAGCTCTGGTCTTATTACAGATATATTTTAAAGCTTTTAAATTCAGGATAGTTTACTAGATTTTTGTCAGTTTACCTAGGAATGAAATTTCACAGAGTGCAAACTCCAAATTCTTTTACAAAGGAAATGACTGAGTGATCACAATTATTAGATTTTGTTCATGGTCAGCTACTCCAAATCGTTCAGCTTCATGAATTACTGCATTTGCTTTTTTGATATTATCCAGAAGAAAACATAACAGAGAAGATAGTTGCTCACAAGTTATATGTCTTTATTTTACAACCTCACACATTGTTTATGTACATAGACTTGTTTATTTAAAGATGTTTTGGAAACTTGACTTCATTTTCATGAAAAGATGACCTATTACCCTCTTACGGATATCTTTGCTGACCATGAATAGGTTCAAGTTTCTCTCTGATTTATTTCTTCCTCTTTGAAATGGGAATATTAATGTTTTCATGCAAGGTTTATCTTAGATGACAATTTAAAGGGCACAGTGTGCATCTTACTATACATACGTACAGTGCAAAATATAATTAAGCCATTCTTTGGCACAAGCCTCTTGGAAAAACAGAAATATCAACAAATACATCAAAATAATAACAGTAATGATGTTTAATAATACATTTTTTACGTGGAACTGACACTAACTACAGCAAACTTTGAATTAAATAAAACCTAGAATACTTTTCTAGAGCCGTCTATGAATTTAGTGGAATCTTATGATTTTACTTATGTTTTTGTTTTTTTTTTGTGTGTGTGTGTTTTACTCAGGGAAATTTAAGTTTTTCTTGTGTGGAGCCACATACAGTGCCTGTCTTTTTCAATGCCACCAGTTACCTTGAAGTTCCTGGACGTCCAAGCCAGGATTTGTTTTCACTCAGTTTTCTTTTCCGAACCTGGAACCCCAATGGACTTCTTGTCTTCAGCAACTTTGCAGATGGCCTGGGGAATGTTGAGATTGACATTAATGAAGGCAAGGTCAGCGTTCATATAAATGTCACCCAAGTAAAGAAGAATCAAATAGACATCTCATCAGGTAAGTGTTTTCAATTGATAACAATTATGTTGGTATTGTTTAAAAGCATAATCGAGTTCAAAACTGGAAAAACTCTTTTTCAAATTTAAGAATCAAATTTGCAACTGCATATTTATTCATACTGAATCAAATCCTTTATTGTGTGTTTCACTGAGCAAGGCTTAAAGGAATAATAAAAGTTATTAAAATAACAAAATAATAAAGAACCCACAAATATTTTTATTCTGAGCAAAACAAGAAGACGTTTCACTCTTTACCTGCAAGGCATCTTATTTTCTTTTTTTCCATAACTCTTTCAGTCTTCTGTGCAAAAATATTTGGTTTCAACAAGAGAAAGTAATGTAAACCCTTGCTGAGAATAGTCTAGTAATAAAGAAACTCTGCAAGCTGTTACAAACACAAGGCCAGTATGAAAAAACTATGGCATTTTTCAAGCACACTGCATAATCGTATTGGAGAAGTAAAAGCTTTCATTACTTATCTAAGGAGTGTTTGGGAAATGCTGTGTGAAAGAATTACTGAGCATTAGGTCTGCTTCTGGAAGGTAGGATGCATGTTCATTTCAGTTCATACACTTCATAAAATTGCTTGATGAATCCTAGGGTCAAGAGGGAACCAGCTGATATAGCTGCTGAATCACTCACTGTTATATTTGAAAAGTTATGACAGCAAAGTGAAGTCTCCAGTAGCTGGAAAACATCACAGGTGGAAAGCAAGACCTAGGTAACTACACACCAGTCAATCTCAGAGCTGTGCCCGGGAAGATTGTGGAACAAATCCTCCTTAATTCTATGTTCATGCATATGGAAGATAAGGAACGGATTAGAGACGGACAAAATGACTTCAGTCATGTTTCCTGACCAATTTGATGGCCTTTCATAACACTGACAGCACCAGTGGACAAGGGGAAAGTAACTGATGTCATCCATCTGGACTTCTGTAAGGCCTTTGACACAACCCCATATCAAAAGCCTTGTCTCTGAATTGGAGAGTTGAGGATTTGAAGGGTAGACCATGCATTAGAAAGGAATTGGCTGGGTGGCCTCATCCTGAAAATTCTGGTTAATGGCTCAGTATCCAAGCGGAAACCAATGATGAGTGCATGTGTACCTCAAGGGTCTAAATAGGGACTAGAGATTTTTAATAGCCAGTGAGACTGAGTACACCCTCAGCAAGGTTGGTTCCAAGCTGACACAATATAAGGAAAGGATGGCACACAAAGAAACCCAGACAGGCTTGAGAAGTGAGCACATGTGAGCAACAAAACCAAGTTAAAAGTCCTGTACCTGGGTTGATACAATCTCAAATATCTGCACAGACTTGGTGATCAACGGACTTAGACCAGCTTTGCAGAAGAAGACCATATGGATTCTAGTAGATAAAATACTGGACATGACCTGAGCACGTCAGATCAGAAAGAAAAATTTCACCTCAGGCTGAATCAAAAGAAATCTATCAGGGCTATCAGGGTGAGGGATGTATCTGTCCCTCTCTGCTCTACCCTCATAAGGCCCCATCTAGAGTACTGCATCCAAGTCTGGGGCCCAGAGCACAAGAAGGCATGGAGCTGTTGGAGCAGGTCCAGAGGAGGACCACTAGGAAGGTCAGAGGTCTGGAGCATTTCTTCTACAAAGAAAAGTTGATGGAACTGGGCTTGTTTGAGTTGGAGAAGAGAAGGCTCTGAAGAGACATTATTGAGAACTTCTGATACTTAAAGCAAACTTACAAGAAGGATTGAAAGAGATTTTTACAAGGTCATTGACAAAGAGTAACATTTTTACGTGCAAATGGGATAAAATTAAATTTTATATAAGAAATAAATTATTAGTAAGGAATGTAATGAGGTACTGGGATAACCCAGAGAAGCCATGGAAGCGTTCTACACTTCCACTCCTTGGAAGTGTTCAAGACCAGATTGAACAGGTCTTCAAGTCACATCAACAAGCAAGAGGTATGCTTGTCCATAGCAGGTAACTGGAACTGGGTGATCTTTTAAGCTCCCTTTCGACTCATTCTATGATTATATGATTTTTCTAGATTGTACTTTCATTTCAGATACTTTCAGGCATTTCTGGATCAGCTGTGATATTTAGAATTCTCTACATTGTGTAAATTAACACATATTGTTAGCAAATTCATGACCTAAGTATGAGGTAAGAAAATAGAGATTGCTTGCAAATAGATCTTGACACGTACACGAGTGTATGTGCACACACACATTTCTTAAGAAGGTTGTATAGAATTTTAGTTATCTAGCAAAAAAAGGGCAATTTTTCTTTTCTTTTCTTTTCTTTTCTTTTCTTTTCTTTTCTTTTCTT